AACACGGCGCCAATGGCATAGCCACTTGCGTCTGTTGTTAAAAGAAATGGTTTTTCAAAATCTGGATACTGCAACACTGGCGATGTAATTAGTTTTGATTTTAAAATTTCAAAACTATTCTGCTCTTTTTCTGACCATCTCCATGGAATTTCCTTCTTTAGCAATTCAGTAAGTGGTTTTGCCAAAGCAGAAAATTTGTCAATAAATTTTCTATAGTAACCAGCCAAGCCTAAGAATGATTTAACAGCTGTTTGATTCTTAGGAGTAGGAAAATTTACAACACTAGAAATTTTCTTTGGGTCTGGTTTGATACCTTCAGCCACAATTACATGTCCTAAGTAATTTAATTCTGGCTTAAGAAATTCACATTTGTCTGGTTCTATTTTAATGTTCCACTTTCTCAAATGCGAAAATACCTCTTTTAATTTTGCATTATGTTCGGAAAGGGTTTCTCCCATCACAATTATGTCATCCATGTATACCATACATTTTTCACCTAACGAATCCCTAAGCACCGCATTCATCATCCTCTGATAAGTGGCTGGTGCCGCTTTTAATCCAAAAGGCATTCGTGTATATTCATAATGTCCATCGGGAGTGGAAAAGGCAGTTTTACATATGTCTTCAGGTTTTATAGGAACTTGAAGATATCCACTCGCACAATCAAGCGNGGTATTTCTTGATGATCTAGAAACCTAACATTTTTTTCTTGTTGGAAGCTGAACAACCTTTTCTGAAAAAGCAGGTATAACTTCTCTTTTAACAATAAAATGGTTCTTCATCAACCAATCTTGTCCCAAAATTAAATCTAACTGTCTAGGCAGTTTGTCGACTACATAAAATAAATGATGACCATTATCATTAACATCAATATCGACTTCTCCGTCGATATTCATTCTATTACCTTTAAACTTATTAAACTTAGTTCTCGACTCCACCCCACTTGACCTCGGCTCAACATCAATATCAACTTCTCCGCTGATATTCATCATATTACCAGTAATCCCACTTATTTTAAACAAATCATTATTTCTCGGCTTGGATCTGGGATGTAACGCAGCCCTAGCTATGAGTGATACCTGTGCACCTGTATCAATCAATGCCACCCCTATTCCTGTTTGGAGATGCGAACTGGTTACGAAAATCTCATAAGAACCCAGGGGACATCCTTCCTTTTGATTCTCAATTTTCGAAACCTCACCCAACCTCCTCGTGGGTGATTCCGAGGAACCCTCGGCTAGCACAAGGGACCCCACACCTACCTCACTGTCCTTCGAATGGTACCAGTGGGTAGTCGATGCTAGCACCTTTTTTATATTCAACAGGCTACCCTCATTGAGACAGTCAAAATTATTCATATAAAACTCATCATTAACAACAGGATCCACTTGTGACTGCCCTTCAAATGGTCCTACACAGTTTCCCTGGAAGAGGGTGCCTTTATCATTTGGATTACTGTTCACTTTCCCCCTAGATCCAGCCCTCGACGGTAAAAATCCGCCACTGCTTCCATCTCTTGGATAGCGTAATTACGATAGAACTCTGCCATCTAACCTTGCTCTACAATCGCGAGTTTTATGACCTTTACGATTACATCTTTCACAGGTAACACTTTGCTTACACTGCTTCATTAAGTGCCCTGCTTGATTACAAAAGAAACATTTTCTACCGTCAGTCACGGCCATAATTTCCTGCCTAATCTTTGGTTGGGGAACCTGCCATTGACCTCTTGATTGCCCAGGAGTTGAACCTGTCAACCAATTCTGATTAGAACGAAATATTTGCGATTTAAGTTCACTTTCCTCGTTCGAGGCAGTTTCAATCAATTGGAGTAGGGTGACATCATCGCTTCTTCTACTCTTTACTAGATACTTAATTTTATCATCCTTTAAGCCATTCACGAATGTACCTTTCAATAATTCATTAATAACATCATTACCTCCTCTCAGGTAACTTAATTGCTCTAATGTACGATCATCTTGGCTTAAGTTTATCAATTTAGTTTCTACCTCAAAACTACGTTCTCTGGCAATATTGAGTAATCTATTGCTCCATTCCGTGACTGACTCACTTTGAAATTGTCTGGCTGTGAACAAGATTCCGGCTGTATAATCTAATGTACGCTTTGTAGTGTAATTTGCCTCCAAAGCTTTCTTATATCTGCCCATGTATCAATAATTCTGTTATTCAATTTAAACTTTGCATCACCCACAATGTGTGCAAGAATACATTTAACAAACGACGCTTTTCTTACTTCATATAACATTTCCAATGTTGATTCAACAGTTAAAATAAAATTGCGGACCTCTTTAGTGTTCCCATCAAAAGTTGGCAGTAACTTCTCGGCATGAGCTACTGTCCAGTACTCTCCTATTCTCTCTGCCTCCGTGGCATCTCTCATTAATTGTATAACTTGTTCATCAGCCATTTTTAAACAATTTCTCTAAAACTTATTATTAAGCCTCCACAATTGTTAACAATTAAAGGGTCTTTGACTCACCTTACAAGAGGGAAGGGTGTCCAAAGCTCTGTAGTTCGTCCAGTAGTGATGGAGGACGGTGCCCCGTCCTCTCCCCAGAGGGTGCCGGAGTCTTGCGACAGAAGCTGCGACCAGACTGCCAGTAGTTCGTGCCTCGGCGTCCCTACTGCGTTGATGGAAGCCAATGGACACAGGACTTTGTTGGATGTACTGCTGGAGTAGCTAGCTGCGATCTCGCGTTGTCGGTGTCAGGACCCATCGTTGATGTTGGATGACCTTCGATCCTCACCAGCCCCAGTTACTAGCCCACAGGTTTTCAGTGATTGGATTAGAAGAAGATTCTCCTTGAAGAAGCGTCTTCCCTTCAGGTGTTGTCACTCCTCCTGGTCTCGAAGGTGATAAGTCTTCTTGACGAGTTCGTTCACAATGACAATTTCAAGTTGTCTTGGCAAGATCGCAATTCGCTGCCACCATGTTGTATGGTTCGACGTGCAAGACAAAGTGGTAGGTGGATGGAGCAGCCTTGTCGTTCCATACAAACAAATTTA